GCAAAGGTCCTAACCTAGGTAATAAGCACGAGCTAATTAATAAATCAGCCAACATTTAAGTCCCATAACAAGCCCAAATAAACATAGGCCAACTAAGCTTATACAGTACTACATGCCAAAATAAAACAAAATTAGAGGTATGATCCATGGAACCAGCTCCACCTCTTACTCTTGTACATACATGTTAAATGGCAAAGGTACTAACCTAGGTAATAAACACAAGCTAATTAATAAATCAGCCAACATTTAAGTCCCATAACAAGCCCAAATAAACATAGGCCAACTAAACTTATACAGTACTAAATGCCAAAATAAAACAAAATTAGAGATATGAGGAATGAGTATATGACTATCAACACATACATTCTTACAAACCAGATGATACTTATACCAAAATAAACGACAGTTTTTCTTTGTTAATTTTCTTTCATCCATCGCAGCGAGCAACTTTATTAGCTGAGCTCCATGCTAGCAGGACAGCAATTTTTCTACAGTTCTGATGCACAATATCATGTTCTAGTGCAGTCACCATTGATAAAGGCATTATTGTTAGTACAATAGTAACAACACATAAGAGAACATCAAAAGAGCATCAATGGAGTTAAATTTATACCTATTAGCAAATAGTATGTTTTTTATATTGAGTCAGCATGCATTTTTTTAGCAGGCAAAGCATGAGTATACCAAGCAATGGAAAATATACTGGAAGTTGTGTATCCCTTCTTTGATAGTTATATACTCATGCCTCATATACCCCAGATGCGCAAGCGTGCGTGTGTGTATGTGAGAGAGAGAGAGGAGAGGAGAGGAGAGAGAGAGAGAGAGAGACCATCAGAATCCAATGGCCAAATGTGCCTGGTCAAAGCTTTATTCATTTGGAACATATCAATCGAATTGACGTTAAAAATCTTCTTCAGATTCTCATCACAAAGAATCTTCCTCCTATTGCTTGGGTCTTGCAAATTATTTTCTCGAATATATGCCCAAAGCTTCTTGACAACCTGGAAAGCACACCATGAAATAAGACAAGGAAGATTCTTGACAAACCATTCATCTGATATGAAATTTAGAAGTGACAAAAATCAGGAGTAGTGGTTACCTCTGTCCTGGCACACTCAGAGGCACCGACAAACTCTTGAAGTGCTGGGGAAATGCTGCATAACTTTGTAAAGCCACCAGCCTTTTTCTTGCCGTCACCCAACCTATGCAAGATAGGTTAAAAAAATTACTGGGTATGGTTTGGCCATTTAGAAAGAGTAACTATTGTCAATACGAGAAGTTGTGCAGATGTCCAACAGAGCTAACAAACCTGCTCGGTAACTCAAATATGCCTAAAAAATTACCACACATCTTAACATATACTCCCTCTGTCCCAAAATAAGTGTCTCAACTTTATACTAACTCTAGTGCAAAGTTGTACTAAGGTTGAGACGCTTATTTTGGGACGGAGGGAGTACATAAATATTCTATGCCAATAATCAGTACGGTTCTCAACGTATGAGTCATGCAGAAATACAGTTCCGTAGTAACTAACCAACTATGTAAGGCCAACAGCATGTGCTGCTCATCAGCAAACTTTCAGGAAAAAAGGCCTTAGAACAGCTCCACTATGATAAACCTACTAGTGTGGGAACCATACCAAAATGTCACGGAATAATAGTACCAGATGATTTCAGCTATCATCTTTCCACCTATATAAGCAGAGGTATTCCATTAGTGTCTTAAGTTGCACAGTATTTCATTCTAATCTGAACAACCACTGGTCCACCACAGCTTGTGACTTTGGAACTACTGAACCTGAGTGTAAACTTCAATTTATTGTAGTAAGACCATGTGTGTTTAACTGAACCACGTTGACTGGTCCATAGGTCAACATCTTCAATAGTTAATTTCCAAGTCTTGAAATACATTCAGACAACTTTAATAGGAAAAGGAAATTCCCAACTTGAGCAGTAATAATACCTAACTACTCCCTCTGTAACTAAATATAAGACGTTTTTGCAGTTCAAATTAAACTGCAAAAGCGTCCTATATTTAGTTACAGAGGTAGTAGTACAAAAAGATCAACAATCAGGAAGCAAAAGGTCCATTAGAGCCCCAAATGTACAACCACAGTGGCCCTACCTACAAAATACAAGTGGCTTATCCACCACCAAATTTATCATTGATCAACGGGATAGCAAATATTGGACAAGTAGCCACATGTTAGCAGAAACACCAATTGTCAGGTAATTGCTTTGCAGTAAGAGGTATACTATTGAGTATACATGGATATTGCTTTCCACATGTTTTTGATGGTACACTCTACACTGGTGGTATATGCACCAACACCCACCCACATGCACAGCACAAAATGCAGCCACAAAATCACCAACCCATTCGAATGTCCCTGAGTTGGTCGTTCAGCACAATGCTGAGGTGTAAAGTAACTGCAGCATCTCTACTGATTGTGGAGATATTATCCAAGCAGTTAAAAAATTTAGGATATCTAGTGCATCCGTAAGCATTACAATGTCTAGTGCATGAAACATCAAAATGCATGAAAGGTGGAAAATGCAATTGCATTTCAATCACCAAATGTTGCAGCTAATGACCCTACAAGACTCACGGACACATCAGCCGATAGGAAATATAAGCACGGCTACATCATGCAACTGCAAACGGCTAATATACAACAAATGCAGCCACAAAGTGTTCAATTTGCACATTAATTAGAGGAATTAAGCCGCTGAAGCACTAATTGTAATAACAGTGACAAACACAAAAAGAACCCAGTAAACATCCACCATAGCAAGAAGAGGAGAAAACACCAAGTCAATCAGGAAACAGAACAAACTCGGCATGGTACCATCAACAGATACTTGGGCAAGATAAGTTAAAAGGAAAAATAAACATATCATGTGAAGGTAAATTGAAAAGCAATAGCAAACGCAAGTAAAACCTTTGCCGACTATTTGGTCCAAGATTTCAATGGCAGGGATAAACCAGACGTGGTTATCCCCTGGCGAGATAATAACAGCTTTACAGTAGCAGTAACAGCCTAAACACGGCAAGGAATATGCAATCCCAGAACCCTCCACGAACGCTGAGAGAAACGCCTGAATCCTTACCACTGTTCGGGCAAAGATATCACACGCGAATGCACAGTGCCGACGTATATCCTAACAGATCGATGAAAACGAAGCACTCAATGAACCCTAAAACGGAGCAGCAAATGCGGCAGAGATGGACAGAGAGCAAAAGCGCCTCACCGCCGCTTCTTCTTCCGGCCGCCGCCACTCTCCTCGTCTTCCTCCTCCTCCTCCTCCTCTTCCTCCTCTTCTTCCTCCTCCCCCTCCTGCTGCTCGGCCCCCTCCTCCTCCCCCTCGCCCTTCTCCTCCCCTCCTTCTCCGGCCTCCGGCGTCACCTCCTCCGGATCCTCCTCCTCCGCGGGCGCATCCTCGGGCTCGGCCTTGTCGGCGAACTCGGAGAGCAGGAGGTCGACCTGCTCCCGGACGAAGGTCTTCTTGTCGGAGAGGTCGACGCCGAAGTCCTCCTCGAGGCGGCGGCGCAGGGCGCTGGTGGTGGTGGTGGTGAGGTCCGACTCCCGCAGCACCTCCCGCAGCCGCTCCACCAGCTCCGAGTCCGACACCATCGCCGCCTGGCCTCGGGTGGGTTCTCTCGCCTCTGCCTCTGCCTCTGCCTCTGGGGGAGCGTGGCCGTGCGCAGGCACCGGTGGGGGGGTGGGATGGAAGGGCTCGCTGCCTCGCGTGGTTTCAGTTTTTGTTTGGGCTGAAAATGTGGGTTTTCCTTTCCCCCCGGGGGGCGTCTGGCCCAGATACACCGCGTCACGTTTTTTCCCCCTTTACCCCTTTTGCCGTTGTGATGATGTGATGGTGTCACGACCGTTAGTGCTTGAGTGGACGTCAGGATTGACTGCTGGGGTAGAGAGGGATTGACTGCTGGATTTACATTTTGCCTTTTACAGACCATGTTCTTGCACGCTTATAATCAAGATTCTCCAAATAGGTAGAGGAGAACTGAAACTAGAAAGCAGAAGTAAAAAATGCAAGTAATTGAAGACAAATAAGGCTATTTCACTCTCTTGCCGATTTTTTTTGAGGGGGGGGGGGGTGCAGATATCCTTCGTCGCTAAGATAACGGGTCAAACATAATTAATAAAAATATCGGTCGGTGCAACGGATACAGAGAGATTGGTAGATGGTGCTATCTCGAATTATCTATTTGACGTGGCGTTTTGTTTTTGCGTGTGGAGCGGGTCAAATGGTGGTGTGATTTTAGATGGATCGACTCGAGTACTGAAAGTCATAATATGCCAAAAACAGGCCTATACATAATGTTTATCGTAACTTTAGTGCGCATTGATCGTGCACGCATGCGTTACATCTTATCGTCTCACTTTTCTGCACGCATCTCTTGTGTGTTGAAGCGTACTGAAGAAGGAGGATTGGTTAAGACCTTCACTAAAAATTCTAAATTAATAAGAAGTCCTCTTGTGTATTAAATATCTTAAATTCATTGGATTTACGAGAATTGTATCTGGTGCCTTGCCATATGCAAATTTTATTCAAGTTTCATCATTGCTTTGTCGGGCTACTGCATTGAGATGTGGTTTGAAAACTAACATGTTGGTGTATCATGTTTGGTGGTCGGTTATTAGCAATGACAACGAGCTAATGATTTAATATTACCATAAAGTGTATAATTGTCTTCGCCTCCATGGCATGTGCTCGTAGGAAGGACTGGAATTTGACATCCCGGTAAATATGCATCAGATATTGGGATGTGACGTGGATTGGCTGACCTTGAGTGGCTAGATGAAAGCGCATGTAGTCCCCATATGTGATTTTCATAATTAATGACAATCTTGATAAAAAAAACTATTTCATTGAGATGCATATGGAGGATTGTTCCATGGGCAGTGCATGGAGACCGTTGGATGGGTTCAAGGATGAATGCCATTGAGATAAAGATATGCACTGAGATTTGATGATGGATAAAGTATATTGGATGGATTTGGGAAAAACCTCATCAAAATGAAAATATGCATCCAGATCACTAAGTCCAAGAGGTGGATATATTATGATCAAGATGAAACAAAAGGAAATTGACATCGAAGTATCAAGATCTTGAGAGAATGAATTGGTATAAAAATTCAACATGTGGCTTTCAAGACAAAGTCATGGTGAGATCATGAGTTGGGCGATGGTTGATCAACATAAGAAAGGAAACGTAGCCGCCCGCCGGCTCTGGCTCCTCTCCCCTACAAAGCTTAGAGTTCCTCTGCCTCCCGCCGGCGCTGCTGCCGGTCCGCCCCATCTCCGGTAGCCTTCGGGCCATGGGGGCGTGGTGGATCCCATCCCTTGCCGGTGGGAGGGCTCCGTTTTTACATATTTCTTTGAGGTTTGTCAGGAAGGCGAGATGTTGGCGGTTCCCTAAAGATGGAATAAGGTTCTCCCCGCCCAGCCCCCATTCTGGCGGTGCATCTAGCATCGTCGGTAGGTGTGTGGACGTGTGTCTCCGATGGATCTATCTTTGGTGGATCTGCTCGGATCTGGTCATCGTTCGCCTTCATTCGTGTGTCTTCAGATTGGGTCCTTTCGATCTACGGTACTCTTTATCGGTAGCGATTGTTGTTCTGTTGCGCTGGTCCTATGGGGCCTTAGCATGATGACTTCCCAACTGTCTACTACAAGTAATTTTGCACGGATCCGGCGAAGGAGAGGTGATGACGACGGCGCGCCTTCGACTAACTTCAGTGCTTGTAGTCGTCGCTGATGACTCACAGGTATAGGGTATCAATCGTAGTCCTTTCGATAAGTAAGAGTGTCGAACCCAACGAGGAGCGGAAGGAAATGAGAAGTTGTTTTCAGCAAGGTATTTTCTACAAGCACTGAAAGTAGCGGTAACAGATAGTTTGATGGCAAGGTAATTCATAACAAGTAACAAGTAGCAATAGTAACGAAGGTGCAGCAAGGTGGCCCAATCCTTTTTATAGTCAAGGAAAAGTCGAAACGTTCTCTTATAATAAGCAAAGCGTTCTCAAGGACACATGGGAATTATCATCTAGTCACTTTTAGCATGTTTATTTGATTCACGTTCGTTACTTTGATAATTTGATATGTGGGTGGACCGGTGCTTGGGTGTTGTTCTTACTTGAACAAGCCCCACTTATGATTACCCCCTCTCGCAAGCATCTGCAATACGAAAGAAGAATTAAGATTAATCTAACCATAGCATGAAACATATGGATCCAAATCTGTTGGAAATATGCCCTAGAGGCAATAATAAAATAGTTATTATTATATTTCTTTGTTCGTGATAATTGTCTGTTATTCATGCTATAATTGTGTTATCCGGAAATCGTAATACACGTGTGAATACATAGACCACAACATGTCCCTAGTGAGCCTCTAGTTGACTAGCTCGTTGATCAACAGATAGCCATGGTTTCCTGACTATGGACATTGGATGTCATTGATAACGGGATCACATCATTAGGAGAATGATGTGATGGACAAGACCTGATCCTAAGCGTAGCACAAAGATCATGTAGTTCATTTTGCTAGAGCTTTTCCAAATGTCAAGTATCATTTCCTTAGACCATGAGATTGTGCAACTCCCGGATACCGTAGGAGTGCTTTGGGTGTGCCAAACGTCACAACATAACTGGGTGACTATAAAGGTGCACTACAGGTATCTCCGAAAGTGTCTGTTGGGTTGGCACGAATCGAGACTGGGATTTGTCACTCCGTATGACGGAGAGGTATCTCTGGGCCCACTCGGTAATGCATCATCATAATGAGCTCAATGTGACCAAGTGTCTGGTCATGGGATCATGCATTACGGTACGAGTAAAGTGACTTGCCGGTAACGAGATTAAACGAGGTATTGGGATACCGACGATCGAATCTCGGGCAAGTAACGTACCGATTGACAAAGGGAATTGTATACAGGATTGATTGAATCCTCGACATCGTGGTTCATCCGATGAGATCATCGAGGAGCATGTGGGAGCCAACATGGGTATCCAGATCCCGCTGTTGGTTATTGACCGGAGAGGCGTCTCGGTCATGTATGCATGTCTCCCGAACCCGTAGGGTCTACACACTTAAGGTTCGGTGACGCTAGGGTTGTAGAGATATTAGTATGCAGTAACCCGAAAGTTGTTCGGAGTCCGGGATGAGATCTCGGACGTCACGAGGAGTTCCGGAATGGTCCGGAGGTAAAGAATTATATATAGGAAGTCAGGTTTCGGCCATCGGGAAAGTTTCGGGGGTCACCGGTATTGTACCGGGACCACCCGAAGGGTCCCGGGGGTCCACCGGGTGGGGCCACCTATCCCGGAGGGCCCCATGGGCTGAAGTGGGAGGGGAACCAACCCCTGGTGGGCTGGTGCGCCCTCCTTGCCCCCCTGCGCCTAGGGTTGGAAACCCTAGGGGTGGGGGCGCCTCCACCTGGCTTGGGGGGCAAGTTTTCCCCCTGGCCGCCGCCCCCCCTTGGAGATTGCATCTCCTAGGGCCAGCGCCCCCCCTAGGGGGCCTATATAAAGAGGGGGGAGGGAGGGCAGCCACACCCATGCTCTTGGCACTTCCCTCTCCCCCTGCTACACCTCTCCCTCTCGTAGAAGCTTGGTGAAGCCCTGCCGAGATCACTGCTGCATCCACCACCACGCCGTCGTGCTGCTGGATCTTCATCAACCTCTCCTTCCCCCTTGCTGGATCAAGAAGGAGGAGACGTCTTCCTCAACCATACGTGTGTTGAACGCGGAGGTGCTGTCCGTTCAGTACTAGGATCATCGGTGATTTGGATCACGACGAGTACGACTCCCTCAACCCTGTTCTCTTGAACGCTTCCGCTCGCGATCTACAAGGGTATGTAGATGCACTCCTCTCTCTCATTGCTAGATGAACTCATAGATTGATCTTGGTGAAAGCGTAGAAAAATTTTATTTTCTACAACGTTCCACAACAGCGGCATCATGAGCTAAGTCTATGCGTAGTTCTCTTTGCACGAGTAGAACACAATTTGTTATGGGCGTAGATGTTGTCAACTTTCTTGCCACTACTAGTCTTATTTTGCTTCAGAGGTATCATGGGATGAAGCGGCCCGGACCGACCTTACACGTACGCTTACGTGAGACAGGTTCCACCGACTGACATACACTAGTTGCATAAGGTGGCTAGCGGGTGTCTGTCTCTCCCACTTTAGTTGGAGCGGATTCGATGAAAATGGTCCTTATGAAGGGTAAATAGAAGTTGGCATATCACATTGTGGCTTTTACGTAGGTAAGAAAACGTTCTTGCTAGAACCCTATTGCAGCCACGTAAAAACATGCAACAACAATTAGAGGACGTCTAACTTGTTTTTGCAACATGTGCCTTGTGATGTGATATGGCCAAAAGTTGTGATGAATGATATATATGTGATGTATGAGATCATGTTCTTGTAATAGGAATCACGACTTGCATGTCGATGAGTATGACAACCGGCAGGAGCCATAGGAGTTGTCTTAATTATTGTATGACGTGCGTGTCAATGATTCAACGCCATGTAATTACTTTACTTTATTGCTAAACCGTTAGCCATAGTAGTAGAAGTAATAGCTGGCGAGCAACTTCATGGAGACACGAT